TCGGGAGTGCACACAAAGCCACTCTGCACATGGGCTCCAGGCTGGCTGAGAGCAAACCTGAGAGGTCCCCAGTAGAGGACTGGCTGTTGAAGTCAGAATCATCCAGCGAGATTCTCCTTTAGCCAGTGGAAAAAAAAATGACAGGATGGATACATTCAATGCAAAAAAATAAGGGACAAAACAGTATGTTTGCCATGAGCCTGTTTTTTATTGAAAAGCATCTCTCTCATGGACAACATTGTGAATATCTGAGGGGTGGATTTATGGGTGATTTTTTTTTTCTTTTGGTTTCTCTGCACATTCTAATTTTCTACAATGAGTTGTGTTACACATGTAATGAAGAAGATTGAATTTCAAATAAATGGAAATTACCACATAAATATACACTTAGCAAGACTTTAAACAAACAAATCCTTTATTGTCTTAGTTGTTATTACTAAATCAGTGTGTGTTTGTTGTAAAGAATTTAGAAAATACAGATGAAAGAAGTCAATAACTAGTTGGGATCCTAACATTAATATGCAAGGCCCGAGCTCTGGTTTGGATATGGTGTGTGTCCCCCACAAAGTGTTTTGTGCCAGAAGTGTAGTCCATGGGGTGGCAGGATGAGGTTGTGGTGGGACCTTCAAAAGGTGGGCCTAATGATTGGTATATAGGTCAGAGGGTGCCATCCCTGGAGGAAATTAATGCTTGTCTCATGGAATGAGTCTCTTCTGGTGACAGCAGGTTGTAATAATGGAGGCTGCTGCATGTGCTTGATTCCTTCTTCATATGATCGATTCCCTTTCTGTTGGTCTGCCATAGTCCCCGGATGCGGGTGCTATGCTCTTTGGAACCTTCAGCCGTCAGAATTGTAAACCAAAGAAACATCTTTAAAAAGTACTTGGCCTCATGCATTTTGCTATAGCAATGCAAAATGGATTAAGACAGCCTGTTAACATTTGACACATCCTTTGAGATATTTTGTTTTTACTTTTCAAAAGTGGTATCATGCTGGTTTTAAGTCCTTCGGGTATACACGGAGGAGAGGGACAGCTGGGTCAAATGGTGGTTCCGTTCCTAATTTTCCAAGAAACCTCCATACTGCTTTCCATATTGACTGCACGAATTTGTAGTCCCAACAGCAGTGTATGAGTGTACCTTTTTCTCCACATCCTCGCCAACACTTATTGTTGTTTGTCTTCATAATAGCTGCCATTCTGACTGGAGTGAGATGATATCTTAGAGTAGTTTTGATTTGCATTTCTCTAATTGCTAGCCATGATGAACATTTTTACATATATATGTTGATTGATTGAATATCCTCTTCTGCAAAGAGGTCCTTGGCCTATTTATTGATTGAATTTTTTTTTTTTTTTGGTGTTTAGCTTTATGAGCTCTTTATACACCCTAGAGATTAGTGCTCTCTTTGATGTGTGAGGGGTAAAGATTTGCTCCCAAAAAGTAGGCTCTGTGTTCACTTCACAGATTGTTTCTTTTGCTGAGAAGAAACTTAAAAACAGCATACTACAGGGACACAGCCACATCAGTGTTTATAGCAGCACAATTCACAATAGCTAAACTGTGGAACCAACCTAGATGCTCTTCAGTAGAGAAATGGGTAAAAAACAAACCCGTGGCATATATACACAATGGAATATTACTCAGCAATAAAAGAGAATAAAATCATGGTATTTGCAGGTAAATGGATGGAATTAGAGAAGATAATGCTAAGTGAAGTTAGCCAATCCCTAAAAAACAAACACTGAATATTTTCTGGGATCTAAGGAGGCTGATTCATAGTGGGGTAGGGAGGGGGAGCATGGGAGGAATAGATGAACTCTAGATAGAGCAGAGGGGTGGGAGGGGGAGGAGTGGACAAGGAGTTAGAAATGATGGTGGAATGTGATGGACATTACTATCCAAAGTACATGTATGAAGACATGAGTTGGTGTGAATATACTTTGATTACAACCAGAGATATGAAAAATTGTGCTCTATATGTGTAATAAGAATTGTAATGCATCCCACTGTCACATACAAATAAAAAATTTAAAAAGTGGTATCATCTATCACACAGACAGTTAAAATATTTTTGCTCACTTAAATAATCCTTGCATTAAATATTCTCACTCTGTTATTTTGAATGGCTATTTAATGGTTTAAACATATACTAGAGCTTCTTTGTTCTCCTTCTACAGACACATAAGTTATTTAGTTTATTTTGGAGGGGAAGGGACCCGATCATACAGAACACTGTACAGACTGTTCATGTGAATATCCTTTTTTTTTCTTTTCTTTTGGGATACCGGGGATTGAACTCAGGGGCACTCGACCACTGAGCCACATTCCCAGCTCTATTTTGTATTTTTTTAGAGACAGGGTCTCGCTGAGTTGTTTAGCGTCTCACTTTTGCTGAGGCTGGCTTTGAACTCGTGATCCTCTTGCCTGGAGCCACTGGGATTACAAGTGAATGCTACCGTCTCCATCTCCATGACCCTCCCTTAGCACAAATTTCTAGAAGTAGAATTGATGGATTCAAGAGTTGTATCAAACGCCTAAGACTAATATAGAGGTATTACTAAATACCTATTTCCCAACATTTCTTTCAAGCCTGAAATTTTAAAAAGTGCCATTTTAAAAGGAAACATGCCATTTAGGCAATCCTATTATTTTGACTTTTTAAATTTTTTTATTATACAGGTTGAACAATATTACATTCTTACAGGGCTTTGGTATTTCTTCTTCTAGTAATTTTCTTGGCTGTCTTTTGGCATGTTTGTCTTTCTCTTAGTCATATTAATTTTTGCCTATTATACATTTTATGACGATTTTTCCTCATTTCTCATTCACCTTTACTTATTTGTCATGGCCACATAATTAAAGGAGAATGGTAGCAGTGGCTAGCACTTAGTGAGCACTTACAGTAAGAATATCAGTGCTGTGTCAGGCACATGGAATGGGTCTCTCACTTAGTCCTCCAACAATCTTGGGAGAGAAGGCAACTACAGAGGATGAGGACCAAGGGTTACAGCAGTTCACATGCCCAAGACCACACAGCTGCTTACTTCTGAGTCTCTATCGTATCTGTTCTGGTTTCAGCCTTGCATGTCATGCTCAGTAAGGCATAATCCCAGCAAGTTTTTAAAAATAACTAAATTGAGGCCAGGTGTGGTGGCACATGCCTGTAGTCCCAGCAGCTCAGGAGGCTGAGGCAGGAGGATTACAAATTCAGAAGCCAGCCTCAGCAAATTAGTAAAGGCCCTGTCTCAAAATCAATATATGTAAATAATAATATAATATAAATATAAATTATATATATAATGGTGTTGGGGATGTGGCTCAGTGGTAAGTGCCCTTTGTGCCAATCCCTGTGCTACAAAACAAAACACTAAGTTGAATCTCCATGTAATGCTATAGAACAATAATTACGTTGCATTTTCAGAACAGTGTATATAACTCTTACATTCAAAAAAGTACATATGATTAAATATCCATAAATAGTCAGAGGAGATACACTTTAACAGTTTGCTCCATGTAGGCTCCAAGAGGAAAGGAGTGATGTTCACTTTTAATTTTTTTTAACACATCTAGTTTTTTTTTTTAACCTAAACTTTTTATTAGGAAAATGTATTGCATCTATTTAAAGAGAACACACTTTCTGGCTGGTTAAGAAGGCGTGGCTGAGGCCTTGAATACAACTCTTCTTCTCTGCACATTTGGACAGGCATGCATGCACTTCTCCAATTATTCAACCACTCAAGATACGTTGTTTGGGAGTGTACTTTGGGCTGGTTTTGTGTTGGATGACCAGAATGCAGAGATGCAAGGACTGAATCTGTCCCCCCCTCCCTTCCCGCTCAGTCCAGCAGAGAGACAAATGGACAACTCCAGGGTGATCATTGCCAAAGGAATGAGGCAGAGAACAGGAAGAATGTGGCGGCGGGGCAGGGCAGGGTTGGCCTGCAGGTGTCAGGAGAAACTTCACACGCCTACAGAATGCCCACCTCCAGCTGTGGACCTAACTCCTCTGCTCCTCCAGCCTGGGGCCAGGACAAGTGTCCTGTTACTAATCTGAGGTTACCCCCTGTGGTTGGCTTCTTCCACTCCTACCCCACATTTTAGAAATAATCCCTTAGTAAATAATCCCTCTTCATTTACCTCCCCCTGAGTGTGGTCTCTATTTCCTCTGGGACTTCGACTGATAGATAATGGCTTTGACCTGGGGCAGCTGCAGCTCAGGGAAGCAAGATGGTGTCGGGTGGCTGGCACTGAACCTGGGTGCTGAGGTCCAAGGCCACTGCAGGAAATATCTCCGCAGGTACCAGGGTTAAAGTGGAGAAAACTAGGAGGTGGTACCAGGTTCATGAGTCAGGTAGCAGAAACTCTGAGGACTTTCGTAAACCCTTTGTGAGATGGGATGGAGCCAGAGGAAAACAGTTTGGTCTATAGTTATAAGACTATTTGTTTGTTCTCAAAAAACTGATGTTTTTGAGAAAACTGAGGTTATTAAAGTTATTAATTTGTCCATTCATTCATTCAGCCAACACTGAGGACGTTGTTATGTAACAGACACTGTCCTGGGGACAAAGAGTGAATGAAACAAACAAACCCTCTTACTTTTAGGGTCAGATTCAAACCAAGGTACTCTGCCTCTAAACATACTCTTGACACAGTGGCAAGCTGCCTTTACCAATTTCTTTCTTTCTTTTTCTTTTTTGGCACTGGGTGATTAAACCCAGGGGCACTCTACCACTGAGATACATCCTGGCCCCCTTTTAAAATTTTGAGACAGGGTCTTGCTAGGTTGCTGAGGCTAGCCTTGAACTTGATTGAGATCCTCCTGTCTCAGCCTCTCAAGTCACTGGGATTACAGGTGTGTGCCACTGCACCTGGTTCCCATTAAGTATTGGATAAAATTTTATTTGGCCAAAACATTGCTAGAAGGCCCCACTCTTCTGCCAATTCCTTGGACACTACAGATCCAGGTTACCTCCATCTCTCCATATCTTCTCTTCCAGATGCACACTTGCAGCTAAACCCCAGCATCTCCAAGCATCTAGAACTCTGTCATGGTAAGTCATCACCAGGACCAGTCACAAAAGCTAACATTACGCTTATTACTGAGCCTTTGGGTCTTTTTTTTTTAAAGAATACAGAGAATGAAAAGATTAGCTGCCTACAAGCTCCCCCATCTGTTCAAACGGAAAAACTTCACAAACTCTTAGGTGCTGGGCAGCATAAATTCAAAGTTGTATTTTTAAAAAGCATTAAAAAAAGAGAAACAAACTCTTTATGTGATTTTTCCAAATGCAAACATCTATTTCAAATTAAACGATACCCTGTAACAGCATAATTAAGAACACACACTTGAGTTCCAGGACTAATTCTCTTTGCTAGTTATTTGACTTCAGGTAATTTCGTAGCATCTCTAAACCTTGATTTCTTCCTCCAAAATACTGATGATCAGAATTCCTGAGGTTTTCATGAGGACACATTAAGATATGTATGTATCATATTTAACAATGCCTGGCAAGTAGTAAGTGTTCAATAAAACAAGATACTCTCATTATAAGCATTCTCTCTTCTACTTACCACACCCCTCTCAAGAAGAGAAAACAATTGTGCAATCTAAATCTTTGTAGTCAGAGCAAAAGACTCTAAGATTTTTTAAATAAAAGAATGTTTTATATAAATTTAGAGAGAAACCATAAACTCCATTGAACCGAAGAAATAGAAGCAGAACTGAGACCCTGATGCAGTTAACATAGTTTAGACATTTACTAAAGTTATAAAGCTCTATCAAAATCAGAGACTTCATCTAAATTCATGCCATTTACTTGATTCTGTTGCTCAAATTTAACTTTGCCACTGAGAAATTGATGCAGTAATTTATGGATGTATTCAGAGGCCCCTCTTTTCTTGTAAGATTCAGTTAACAACCTTAACAAGGTATTGGTTACATAAAATGTACATTCTTTCTCCACCACCCATCTGGTGGCTGGACTGGCGCCCAGATAAGGACAAGTTGCCTCTGCTTTGCTCTGTTGCACCTGTTCCAGACAATGGGCTGAGAGCGTTGTGTGATTGGCCCCTCAGCAAAGGACAATTATGGACTTATGCAAGTATAGGCAGGGAGAGGGGCGTTGGATGGCTGGACTTATGCAAGTATAGGCAGGGAGAGGGGCATTGGATGGACTTTTATTCTCCCCATCCAGGAGCACATATGATCATTTTGGACTTCAAATTTCTTTTTCCTGCTTAGTGTGCAATACTTATAATGGGTTGTTTTATTTTTCTCCATTTATTTGTACTAGAGAAAACTGAAGCTGGGCCCAGATTATAATAATGGAAACTCTGGTGTTCTTCACAGCGAAGCTTCTCGGGCAGCGGGCAGGTGCACCAAGATCTTGACTCCCAGCACCTGGGCCTGCCCATGTTCTCAAGCTGAGCATCCTCCTACTCTTACAGCCTCACCCATTAACTGTGTAGGCCACACAAACACCACCACATTTTATATGTGCTATGTTGTGGATAAAGATGGAAAACACTGTTTTGGGGAAGCAGAAGCTTTGAGCTGCTCTTTTCAGAACAAAGCTAAAGGAAATGGGCACTGCCCATTTTGTATTTCACAGAGGAATGTAAGAGGGCAGCAGGAAGCAATCAAGATGGGGAAATCAGGAGGGCAGCTGGGACATCTCTTTGCCTCATGATGAGAAGTAAGGCAAGGCCGAGCTGGCAGGAACCTCAGAAGACAAAATAAAAGGCTCCCATCTTTTCTAACGTTCAGAACAGTGATCTCATACTCGCGCTCATTGTTTTCGGTTATCCAAAGCAAACGATTTCTCGGGAAGCTATTAAAACAACTTGCAATCTAATACGAGACGTCATTTTCTCCCAGTGACCAGCACTGGGCCAGGCATTATTTGGGTTTAGAATTTTAGCTGACTGTGACTGAACTGTGAACCTCAAGTGAGTGTCACTTTATTGGGGACCATGACCTGACGCTGCACGGGACAACTTACAGTGCCTTTCTCGAAACTTCTCACTTGCAGGAGGAGCCTGGTTGGGTAGCAGCGCAGTCATTTTATAACTATGTGAAAATTTGTGTGTGGAAACCTGAGTGACCTAACCACACACTCTTGGTTTACTCTAGCAATGTCCTGGGCTTTTTATAGACTGGCATCCTAGGCAGCAGGCCATCTGGCCCGCCCCTGAGCTTGACCCTGGCTGTGGTAAAGCATGGGCTTTGGCATCATAGACCTGAGTTCAAGGTCTGTGTCTGCTGCTCATTAGCTGTGCAGTCTTGGGTGAGTTATTTAACAATCTTAAGCTACAGATGCAAATCAGAGATAGGTGGATGATCTTACAGCTTATTTCATGGTATTGCTTGACGACTAAATGAACAGTGTGTGCCAAGGAGAGAAATTAATGCATGCTCACTCTCCTTTTTACTCCTGAAACAACAATAAAAAGCACCTGTACAGCTAATGCTAACAAGATCATATATATGATTATGTGTGTGTATGCATATATGTATATATGTATATGTATATGCATATGCATATGTGCATGTGCATACACACATATGGATATATGTGCACACATATTTATATAGCTACATATGTTATATATTAATATATCCATATATATGGATATATATATATATATATATATTTTTTTTTTAGAGAGTCTTGCAGTCAATAGGCCTAATAAGGGACCCCGAAAGACAATGCACTATAATAGGACAAGAAATGATGTTGAAGTGGATGTTGAGGAAAATAAGCAACAACCACCACCCAGTGAAGTAAGATTTACAACTAAAATAGAACAGATATGAACATGATCCATCTCAGTTCCTGTGCTTAAAATTGTGTGGTTTAGTAAAAAAAATATGTAGTTTATTCATAATGCTGTTTTCTCAGGACTAATAGTTTTTGTTTCTTTCTGAAGTCTCAAGCATCTTTCAACTGACAGACCCAATTGATGATTTAGGGTGGGAAGGGCTAGTTAGAAAAAATTGACGTTGTTAAGTTTTAATCATCATTTTTTTCTGGTAAGTTTTAGAAGGTGGGTTACTTTAGGAGAACTATGACTTAGACAATGGCTATTGAATTAAAAAAAACAAGGAAAAACTAATTGACAGGATACTTTTATTTTTCTAAAGAATTATAAATCCTTTTGACAAGATCAGGCACAGTAAAAGCATGTTAAAGCCTTAAAAATGTGTGTTATTGTCTTAGACTTGAAATCAGCAATGTACATTCATTTTAATTTGCAAGATTAGCAACCTAGTTCTTGGGGGTTTTTGAAAATTTCATCTCCCTTCCTTAAAGGCTTTTGAAACAAGGCAAAAATATAAATCATGCATATAAGGATTCTTGATTAAAATTAAAACAAAGTCCTCGATGACATGCTGACACTGGTTCCGGAGTCCCCTCCCTCAGCACGCCCACAGGTATGTGTGCTAGTGATGCAGCTGTTTATAATCATTTGGTCTTCCAATGAATTAACCTTCTGTCCAGACGTGTCTTCTCTCTTGTCCTGTCTGCTTCCTAGTTCCTTTGGCAAAGGACGCTGAATTGCCTCACCAAGTGAAGAAAAGTTGACTATTTCGAGGTACATGAATTATTTCAGCATTTCAGAATATCCTTTATGATTATGGGTGATTTGAAAATAAGATTTTAATTATTCTTCTCTAATACAACTTCACAGAGGTTCTCGTAGAGAGGCCCCCAAATTCTCGAAACGGACACAATTTTCTTATGTTCCAGGTGGCAGATGACGTGGGTGAGCCTGCGTACTTGACATTTTAGTCTCATGAATAATCAAGTCAATGATGCAGATAAACTATTTTTTTGGGGGAGGGTGGGTCAAAAGGAGAGTGTGACTGAAATATGGAGGACTTTATTCTTCCTTTAAGGAATTCTAAAAGTAATTATATTCATTGAAAAAAAAATTCCAGTATTGAGAATGTATAAAGTGAAAATGAAAAAAGATTTCTTTGCTATCAGTCTAGTTCCCCATGGGTAACTACAATTAACAGCAGTTAACACAGTAGAACGTTCTGAAAGTCTCTGTGGCACATTGAAGGATTTTTACATTTGTCTTTGTACATTTTACACACACAGGACCACTCTGTATAGGATACTCAGCTACTTCTGTTTTTTTTCTTTCATTTAGCAGTATATCATAAGCATTTCTCAATCATATAGGTTGACCTCACTGTTTTCAATTATTGCATTATATTCTACTGAATAGAAAATGCATAACATTTTAGGTGGGTAACAATTGCATGTGTTTAGAAATTTCTTATTTCAGATGGCCAATGGTTCTTCTTGTATCTTTTTGACTCACATAAGCATACTCTGGAAGCTCAATTCCTAGAATTGGAATTACTTAGCTAACATGGTACACATATTTAAAATTTTACTTATTATTGCCAAATGACCACAAAAAGGGCTATACCAATTTCAACTCCACCCACAATACATAAGCGTTTGTTGTTTTATTCATATTGTCTAGCCTTTAGCATTACCAAGCTTTGAAACTGTTGCATTGTTATAGTTTTAATTGGCATTTGACAAATTGTAGGTGAGGAATATTCTTTTATGTTTACTAATCTTTTCATTTCCTTTATGTGAATTTACCATTTTCCATGCATCTATATTTTATGTCTAATGATTTTGTTGCACAGTAGAGAAGTCAGATATTTGTGTGCAATTCTAAGTATGCTTTAATTCCACTGTCTTTTGAGTAGGATTATGGAAGGTTTTTTTTGTGGATTCTTTAATATTTGTGAGGTAAATTTATCAAATACGGGGCTGGGGCTGTAGCTCAGTGGTAAAAGCGCTTGCCTCACATGTTTAAGGCACTGCGTTTGATTCTCAGCACCACATACAAATAAATAAAGATATTGTGTGTCTATCTATAACTAAAAAAATTTTAAAAAAAATTATCAAATGCTCTATGATGATGTCTCCTTTTCATGCTATTCTTAGAAAGGTGTTTACCTATTTACGGCTGTTTCAAAAAAATAGGAAATTTTCTTCCAGTACTTTTATGATTTTTTTTGGTGATATCTTATGTTTAAATATTTGATACACTTGACACTTGTTCTGGTGCAGTTCTTGAAGAAAGGACCCTGATCTGTTTTTCGTCCAGGTGGCTAGTCTGTTCTGCACCAAGTACTGACTGGAGAACACGGCTCTCCCCCACAGCTTGCATCCTTGACTTGCACACAATCTCCCAAGGTCAAGTCTAGTCTCAACTCTGCTCCATTCACTGCTCTAGCTTTCTATTAACTTATACAATTTTCTATTTTAACATGTTTTACCATCTAGCCCTCCTGCTTTAATCCTCATTTTCCTTGTAATTCCTTACTAACGAGGCTGAAAGTGACCTTTGGTTGCTTATATACATTTGGCGGCTGTGTTCCCAGGTTAAAATACAAAGTGTTTATCCCACAAAATAACTCCTGAAACCGTGCAGGGCCAGCGCTGTCTTGCTCTCTCAGGTTTCAGCAAGGAGTAAGAAAGATCAGGTCCCTGAGTGGACGACAGCGAATTAACAAATAAATAATGTTGTGTCATGAAATGGAATGAAAAAGAATAAATTATGGTGAGGATCTAGAGAGAGACCGGGAGGGAGGTCTCTTAGATAAGCTCTTTGGGGAAGGTTTTCTGAGTGACCTTTGGGCATAGCCTTGAGTTAGTTAGGCTTCAGTTTATCATATCTAGTTTCCTTCTAAATAACTTGACCTTGATACTTCAGTGTCTAAAATAGAATTTGTCATCTTTCCCTTAAAATCCAGGGCCCTCTGATCTTTGCCATTTTGGTGGGTTATTCCCATGATGTTGCTTAGTGGCCAAGAGCCTGGAACTTTCTGGTCACTTTGTTTCTTTCCACCTGGCCAGTAGGTAGGTCTGGAGCATCTCCTCTATGACATGTCCATTTTGTCTTTTCCTGGGTCATTGTTGTGGTGTGTGCTTAAAACTGCTCACCGTGAGGATCAAGTCTGCCTCCACCGTGTCCTCCATTTGACCTTTACTCCTCACCAACCTTCTCCAACAGAGCTTCCTGATCACAGCCTTTTTGAGTTGCTCGTGGAAAATGCTTTTTGTCTATGGAGTGAACCCACAGACTGTTTCATCTCAGCTTCAAGATCATGCAGACTCTGAGCTCGGCCCTGTTCTCGACACCTCTTTCCAAAGAGCACTTACTGCCCGTCAGGTTCTGCTCTGGACACTCTAGGTATCGATTCGTTGAATCCTCACGACAGCCCTCTGAGGAAGATCTCCATTTTACAAATGAGAAAATGGGGCCACAGAGACTCGGGTTTGTCCAAAGTCGTGGAGCCAACATGTGGACATCCAGCATTTCAACCGAGGAAGTTCTATAGTCTGACCTTCTCCTATTTCAAAGTCCATTCCTGCTTGTGTGGGAGTGATGGCTGCCCCTCCCGGCAGGAGCCCTCTCTCATTATTTCTATTTCTGCTTGTCCAAGCCATTGAGAACCAGCGTGGCTTCCTGTCCCCTTCTCTAACCATCCTTGCCCTAAGCAGTTTCTTCATCTCTGAACTCTCAGCAGCATTCAGGATGTGTCACCCACACACAGAGTGGTGCTTAGGATTTTGTGTATGTGTTCTGTTTCTACAACTAGATTAAAAACTGCTTTAAGGAAGTGGCTTATTCCTCTGGTACTTAACTCACATAGTAGGTTGTTAATATTGCTAGTTGACCAGTGCCATCATAGGACACTTAATGAAATAAAGCCTGTATCCAGATATGGGTGGTAAACTGACTATATTTAAATTTAAAACGTGTCATATGAAACTTTAAAAACAAAGGTGCAAATTCACTGAACAACCACTCATTGTGCATGTGCTTCGCACCTGGCACCGTGGTAAGTACCCATGAGGTATTATTGCACAAGTGAGACTTAGTCAAAGTGGGCCAGGTTAGGTAGTGATAACCAACGATCACCAAGCCCCCGTGGCTCAAAATGAAAGGTTTCTTTCTTGATCACACTAGAGGGCCTTTGATGGCTGCCAGGGGGATTATGTTCAAACTAATCACCCAGGGAGTCAGCCAAGTGGAGCAGCCCCCACCTAGAAAATGAAAGGATGCTGTGTCAGAGGGAGGAGGGGACACGACAGGGTGGGTGCTGGCTGTGAAAGGCTCTGCCCGTGGTGGAACCCATCCCTTCTGCTCACTGGCTGTTGGCCAAATAAAATGACATGGCCTCATCCAAATTCTAGTCAGGGGAACATACTCCTCCCCTAGATCCAGAAGGAGAGGAAACTGAACAGCTGAATCGTTACCACAGTCCCCACGGTCAAAGATGTCTGCCTTCCAGAGCTTCTTCTAGACTCTAGAGGGGACACCCACAATAAGTGATAGATATGACAGGTAAGGAAATGATGGAATGTGCTCCAAGAGGATATGTGTTACTGAAAAGGAAAAAAAAAATAGAGTAAGGGAGTTGGGAGTGTCAGGTAGAGACGGAAGCAAGAGAACAGAAGAAATGGGGTGTTCGTGAA